ATTCGCCAGGTCGTGCTCCAAACACGTCAGCACCCCGCGGTTCAGAACCCGACCCATCGCATGGCAGCCGAGGTGCGCGCACTTCTTCACTCCTCTCTCGCGCTCGTAGGCGTTCGTGTGCTGCCAGCACAGGTTGACCACCTTCTCCGCCCCCTTGACATTCGACTTCTCGCCATCCTCCGTGACCAGGCGGACTGGGGCACCTCGGGCTCGATCTCGACACTTCTCCTTGCACAGCTGGAATATCGTGTCACCCTCCTGGTACAGTTCCTCGTGGGCCATACAGCGCTGGTGCTCTGGCTCCGACTCCGTCTCCGAGTTCGGGTCCTTCAACAGGGCGGCTGGGGTGTCTGCTCTGCTTCGCCGGCCGCGCTGGCAGCCCCTCTGGCCGCAGCGCTTGAGGGACCCGCAGAGCCTGGCACACCCCTTCAACCCCAAAGTGGCACAGCCCCGCCCACACGATGCAGCCGCTGCCCCCACTGCCCGCCCGGCCCAACAAGGCTTCGGCGCCGCCTCCACCAGCGCCTCCAAGTTGGTGTCCGTCTCAGCGGTCACGTACCCGTACGCCGGGGCATGCACCGCGTAGTTGCCCTCGTCCGTGCAGGGCGTGTCTCGGCACAGGTGCACCACCTTGTCCTGGGAGTCCTCTAGCAGGTCGCGTAGTCGCCTCGAAGTGGTGGCGAGCACTTCGCGGTACGGCCATGCCACTCCTGCCTTCTTATACTTGATCCCAGTATTCAAAGGTGGCCGCTCCAGCCTCGCTGCGGTGTCGCCCACCTTGATGATCAGGTGATGGGGTACCTTGTCGGCCCCCTTCGCGCGGAGCTGGGCGTAGAACTCGTTCTCCACAGCAATGGCGGTGGCTGGTCCCCTAAGCTCTGGTACCACTCCTTCCTCGGCGGCTGTGACTGGTGGCTTCGAGACCGGACAGCACAGTCCCAACGCCCGTCCCAGGCAACGGAGTGGCGCGCAGACCAACACGTCGACTGCCGAGGCGATGGAGTGCAAGCCGTATCCCAAGCCGATGACGAGTGCCACGATCAGTCCTGCAAATGTGGTCCAGCACAATAAGGGCCAACCCGTGCCGAAGGCCGCGTAGCCCACCGTGTTGAGCCCACTCCCGACCAGGCCGCCACCGCCCCACATCAGATCTGACCACTGTATCTCCGTTGGCGGCAAGTCCGTGATCCAGCCTCCAAGCCAGCTCACTCCGAACTTGACTCCCCCAAAGCTGAACCAGCCTCGCACCTCCTCCTCTCCTGCGTCTGGGCCGCCAGCGTCCTCGGTGCTCCGCCGCGGCGGAGGGTCTCGCCGGCGGCCCGCGAGCCAGCTCCACATCCCGCCCCCACGCCGACGTGAGCTCCCCTCATCTCCTCCACCCGCAGATGTGGGCGAAGCCTCAACATGGGGCTGGGCTGCGGCTGACGTCGCCGTGGGCTGCTGCCGCCCCTTGCCGCCGAAAGGGGGGGTCACTGCTGGCCCCGTGGGCGCTCCTCGCCCCTTCCCAGCATTGGGCGCGGGCCCAGTGGGGGGAGCGCCATGGCGTTGCGGCACCTCTGTAGCCGCCGCCGTGCCGCGGCGCCGCTGGTCCTCCTCCAGCGCCCGCAGCAGAGGCGCGTACGCCCCTCCGTCGGCCGTCACGGCCTCCGCGGGCAGCGTCCTGTCCGCGGCGCGGGCCGCCTGCGGCAAGGCCGGCGTCGCCGGCTGCGCCCGCCACCTGCGGCCAATCTCGACTGCTGCCGCAGCTCCGATGAGCATCGGCAGCGACCCCATCATATACACTCAGCTGCGCTGCTCTCCGGCCAGCGCCTGCGGGCACTGGGCTGGAGCAGCCTCGCGCCTTCCTCCTCACCTCACCATGGCTCTCGGCCCCTGTGCGGACACTGGTCCGCGGGGCAGGCCGCGCTCCCCCGCGCGGGTAGCCCCCCCCAAGGGCCCGAGAAAGAACTTGAGCCCCAGAGGAGCCGCGGAGAGGGGGAAAGGGACAGAGGCAAGAGAGACCCTTCCCCCTCACCAGGCACTTACTCCTTGAAACCCTACGTTTTACGCACGCTCAAACTCTCACGAGCGAACCTAGCTTGTCCTCCTCCTCCTCCTCATCCTCC